GTTTTCAACAAAATCCACAATTTTGCATAGAACATTGCCTGCCAAAACTTCATTGAAACATTAGAGGAAAAAAGAAAATAATGAAAAAGACATATGAATGATTAAAATTTTGTATGAGTGATGTGTATAATTAAATCTTAACTCAAAAAATAAATCATAAATTCAAATAATTCAACCTAATACCTTAATTAGATAACCTTGGTTCTTGTATCATTATCAATTATGACCCTGCAAAATCATAACATCAAAGGGAAAGAAAATCAGGTACTCAGATAGCAAAAACCTTCACTACCTTCATTTCTACTCAGAAAATAGAAATTCAAGAGAGCCAAGAACCCATTTTGATTAACAAAAATAAGACTGGAAATAACATAAACTGGATGCCCCAATTAACATCAGAAAATAAACCAGAAGAACAGAGAACAAAGAGAAATGAAGAACCTTGGAACCAAATTATGTGGAAGATTACTATAAACCAAAAGCACTCTTAAGAATATTTTGCTGCTAATTTAAGTTTAGATAAGGGTGTAAGAGTTTTTGAAATAATGATAAAAGAAAGGATCTTCATTACCTTTCTCAATTCCATGGATTCAAAACGAACTAATTTAGTACAAACAAAACTTTCTAAGAGGCAAAAATCCAACTAGTGACAACAACTGCATCATAGTCACTAGATAGAGTGAAATCAGAGCAAAGCCTCAAACTCTAAAATCTTAAAAATTTAAGAATTGAAGTAACAAAAACTTGAAAATCCAAAAGACCAGTAAACAAACAGATCTGCAAGCATTTCAGACAAGTTTAGACAAACAGCAAGACACAAATCATAAGCAAAAAAGGAATAGATGTGCTTTCTTAACAAACTTCTTACCACATTCATAAAACTGAAATGGAAAATTGAGAAATGAAAACAAAATAACTTAATTAATGAGTAGGGAAGGACCTTTCCCTGCTTGAAAATACCATTAATCAACCTTCACAGTCTCACTAACTTTGCCAAACCTCCAAATCTGAAGCCGGGTGTATCCTCTTCTACCTTAACCTCCAAGCATCATCCATTTATCCATCTAAACCTAAATAACAAAGCCGAAAAAAAAAAAAGAGTCATGCGCAAGGATCCTTGGATTTTGAAAACAAAAAATCTTGTTTGGCATCTGCTCAGGAGAAAGAGGAGATGGATTGGAAACTATATCTCCTCAGTAGTTTGAAGAATTAAAAGAATTAATCGACTCGTTTAAAGGGCGTGGAAGAAATAGAAAAATATGATTTTAAGTACAAAATCATCATACACAGCAGGGAGCTTAATTTGGCTGAAATCTTCGTCTTCCATGGGAGCAGGAAGGTTAAGATCTATGAAGCTGTTTTCTCCAAACCTTGGATTCTTTGTTCTCCAACATGGGAGAGCAAACCCAGATCCCCTGTCCAGCCCCTAGATCTACTTCCTGTCGTTAACATCTTCTCTTCCACTTGAGGTCAGACCCAAATGCCCTTCATCCGCCGCTCATCTGATTCGAACTCTTCCTCTCACACCGGTCGGCCTCCACTCACACCTGTTTCTCTCCCGATCTCCCTTCTCCATCGACAACCATATCCAAGTCTCCCTCCACTCAACCCCTGGGTCTCTTTTGACTCACCTCCAGATCTCTGCGTCGGCCGTGCCCTCTCATCCCTTTCGATGATCAGACACATGGAGAGGAGAAGCTGTGACTGAGAATGTGGTAAGATTGCCCGTCAGAAATTTAGGGATTTGCCATCTGTTTTAAAGAAGGAGAAAATTATTTTGCCTTTTCTTTTATCTAACGTATGTACGTTGGTTGGTTTCCCAAAAAACAGAAAAATGTAAAACGCAGAGTTTGTTAGATAAAAGCCGAAAATATTTTAACATCTATAAAACCGCGAGAGGGAAGGGGATGGTTACTGTAGCTAACAGGTAGTTAGCAAAGG